AATGGCATGGTGACACTGTGACATGAGGATAGTGTGGCATGGGGACAGGGTAATATGGGGACAGTGTGATTAGGGTACAGGATGACATAAGGACAGCAGCACCCTGAACTGAGGATAGAGGTTTATGATGCTAGGTGTGTGTGTGTGTGTGAGAGAGAGAGAGAGATTCAGGTTTGAAAGAGACATTGAGTGTCCCTGAGAGTCACATCAATTCGGACTTTTTCTCTATGGAACAATGAAAGGTGGGACCCTGGACGGTGAGACCAGAGCCCAGGGATGTGTGTGCGACCCCCCCGTAACCATCCGTGTTGGCTGCATGTTCCTGTGCACGTGTGTGAGCTGCATAAGGGCCACAGGGAGGGGGGGGTCATCGAGTAAACGGCTCATCAACTGAACCGCCGGCACTGGGCTGTCGGACGCGCCCCCCCGCCCCCACAGACCCACCCCCCCTCGCAGGCTCCTAAAAATAGGGCCAACGTTCCTCTTTCCTGTGAAAGACGTCCCACGAGCAGCTTTTTTGACTCAGCCCTCAAACGGAAAAGGGCCAAGCGTGGCAGTAGCTTGGGGTCCCGTGACAGGGCAGGGCGGGGGGGGGGGGGGGGGGGGGGGGGGGGCGGTGGTAACGTGTAACACCCTGTACTACTTTTGTTTTTGAAAAAAAAAATGTTTTACGTAGAACAGAGAGTGTGATAAAGCGTCTATACCGTCCGTGTTGCCTGAATGCTCATACTTGGATACCTTATTGTTATTCTTGATTTGTTTGGTAGATGTTTGTTAGCTCTTGCTCCTCTGCTGCTCACACTTGTATCTGGGCATTCATTGGAATCTCAGCCAAGCTACGTTTATTTCAAGCTGACTGCTTGTGCATCTTAAATAAAATAAAATTGAATAAAATATAAATAAGATCAGAGGGGAACTGTTTTGAATGCCTGAGCATGTGAGCACTGGGAGGGTCATCCCAATATTTCGTCTAAGCTATTGCTGCTCCAGTTTGCCCAGTAAGCCATATGTGCACATGCTGGTCTTGCCATAGCGTTAGAAGGAGGACCTGCAGGCAGGTGGTAGGTCTGGATTGTCGGTGGTTGGATAGTCTTGGTGGTCTGCTAAGGTCTTGGGGTGGGGGTAGGGGTCAGCATAATTTTTTTTAATTCTCTCCTTTTCAGTTCCCTGCGTTTGACCCCCGGCCGTAACACGTGTCGATGGGACGACCTGCGAGATTAACCTAATTGGGCTGGACCTCTTATCAGGGCCGAAATCTCAACGGGACGCTGACCCGTCAGAAATAAATACACTAAATTGACTCGAATGGCCAGCACTGCACTGATTCCCCCCTCCTCTGCATGTGCCCACCCGCCTCTGGTCATCTGGTGTGGGGGGCGGGGGGCTGGGGTGACAGAGGGGGCAGCTTCCTTGCGAAATAAGAGAGTCACGGTGCAGGTGGGGGCAGCTTGGGGGAGCGAGCGCCTGCTCCAGCTGCCTTGTAACGCCAATTAAGGGTGGGGGGTGGGAAAGCTTCAATCAGATGGAGTTAATGAGCCTGGGGGGCGGCAGGAGGCCGTAGGGGAGGGGGGTGTCCCATCCGGCGGTATTAAAAAGGCCTGAATGTATAACCTGTTTCATAGTGAGGAATTCCACCGTTTCATTAGGTTGAGTGTCGGATTCAGGGACGTGAGCAGCTTTGGCCCCGTTCTGCCGGATCCGGGATGAAACCCGGGATCCTGCTGCTGCACCTGCAGGAACGGGCCTGTTTCCAGCAGCTGGGGGGCGGGGGGAGGGGGGAGGGGGATACAGACACCCCACTGCTATAACTGGCCCCTTAACAGCAAAGATCACCAACATCTCTTTATCGCCCTGTCTTTATCCGGTTTACCCGTCCCTTTGCCCCCCCCACCTCGCCTCCCAGTAGCACGTGGCTTGGCCCCTGGCTTTGTCCTTGTGGCACGCACCTCATAATTATTATACATGCCCCCCTCCCCGAAGGAGCATTGTGACGAGCAGAAGGCTGTAGCCCCCCCCCCCCCGCACCTGGCAGGGCCCGTGCAAGAAACAACAGAGTCAGGTATCACCAAGCACCATCCCGACGTACCCCTCCCACTACAGTGGGAAGGTGAGTCTAGCAGTGTGAGGGGGCGGGGCTCTGAGTAAAGGGAGGGCCTGGTGGGCGGAGTCAGCCACCTTACCAGCGGGACATGGAATGAAAGTAGGGCCTGGTGGGCGG